CACTATCTGATGCCCTGAACTCTTTACCCAAGGATACCACCAGCGTGCTGCTACCAAAATATACGATACGCCTGCCACGGTGGGAGGACACCTCAGTCTGAACCCGGTACATATACACAGATAGGCCACGCACGATGAGTTTCCCAGACCTCGGCGGGGGAACCTCCGCAGCTGCGTCATCGGTGGCAGCAGGGATGGGAATTGGAGGAGCCAGTACAGCGGGAATGAGTGATCAGGAGGCGGCGATGGTGAAGACTGTGAGTGGCGAACCACCGTGTCCCTCCGTTTGCGCCTGGGTTACCTTACTTTTGGCCCTTGTGTTGGCTGGTTGCTCTACGGCAGATGTAACCTGGAACGCTACTAACTGAGTGGTTATGAGATGAATAGATCCAAGCAGCAATGGAATCGTGTCCCGTCAAATCCGTCATGGCGGGCGGAATGGGCTTCGCGCTCGGAGGTGCTTTTGGTTTATTCATGAGCAGTGTACGTCATACCCACCCCTATCTATACCGACCTTACTCCATACCACAAAAGACCGCATATCTATCCAATCCCTTCTCCTATACACCCCCTAAAGGAGAAGAAGGAACTGTCCGTCCACTAACCAAACCACAAATCCCCATCTCAACCCCAACAGATGTCCTACGACACCCCCTTGACCCCCCAAGGCCGTGAGCTCTCATCGCTCCCCGTCCGCGAACAGCTCCGCCGCGGCTTTAAAGACATGGGCAGCCGCTCGTACAGCTCCGCGAAGAATTTTGCCCTTGTTGGCGCCATGTTTAGCGGGACGGAATGCTGCATTGAAGGGTTGCGTGCGAAGAATGACCTGGCGAATGGCATCGCGGCCGGGTGTATTACGGGGGGGGTATTAGGGGCCAAAGCAGGCCCTCAGGCAGCGATGTTGGGGTGTGCTGGGTTCGCGGCGTTCAGTGCGGCGATTGATGCGTGGATGAGGCAGCCGTCGGATTGAGGGAAGAGGCGGGTATGCAGGGGAGACATTGATATTTCATCTATTTTCGTTCTCTCTTTCGGGCGTTTTGTTTGGGT